TGTGATCTTCACCTCGTATTATATATATATATATAAAAAATTATGAGTGCTTTCAGCACAAGGCAAAGTATATAATATTATGTAAATGAAAGTATCAGCCATTTCGTATGCTGAAGTGTACGATGTGTTGCATACCTATTTATAAACAATTCTTTTAAGTTTAATGTTTCAATTTTAAACACAAAGAAAGTGATTAAACAAATTGTTCACAAAAGTGAATTTCGAGCTCACAGTGACTGATAGGGGGGAACTAGTTACAATAGTAAAAAAATAGTGGGGTGTGACAACAGCAACAATTTTTCCCTCATTAATTTGAGGTAGTGTGCAGTGGGTAAAAAATTCAATAATGAATTTTCAGAATAATATTTCATATTAAACCAACACTTCTAAAAGATGTCTAAATTGTATGTATGTTTAAAAAAGTAGTGTTTGTTTTTTGCTTATATTGTGAAAAGTACTAAAGAATTATCTTACAATATAAGAACAGAGGACAGAATTGATTTATGGTCTACATCGCCTGCTAAAGTCGTTGCTGAGACTTCGATGTATAACTTTTGCCCATTGTAAACGCGAATGTAATTCACTTTCAATTTTAAAATGGTCCAATCGGGGTTTATAGTTCATTGTAGTAGTCCTTCCATATAGTAAATTACAAACTTGAAATTGAAAATAAAAAAATAATCAAACAATTAACTGAAAAAATATCAGTTTTCAGTAGAAATAAAACTGTTTATTGACGTAAAATAATGAGCAGTTACTTATGTATAAAGATTTAAAATACAATATAGTATACTTTAAAAAATGTTATGTTGGGTTCAGATATTTATCAATCCATATTATACCATTAATTACATTGTCAATTTCATGTGGCACCTGAGACAGTGAATGATTGTCTTCATAAAGGTTCATTCTGGAATAAAAAATGAGAAATATTTTATTATCATGACAATAGTATTTCTGAATGTAAATGAAGTTGCTAAGAAAAGTTGGAAGTTACAATTCTGTCTTAAGCATGTATTAATTAACCAAAGCCTGTTTATATTTCCTTTTAAAAAAAAGGTTATCAGCTCATTATTTTTACCTGACTGGTACGCCATTTGCTTTGAGGCGATGATAATATTCTATAGCTTGAGCAGGGGGTACTCGCAGGTCTTTAGTACCGATTTGAAGTAGTGTGGGGGCTTTTACTTTGTGAGCGTGTATAATAGGTGACAATTTACGCATAGCTAAAAGCTCATCTTCATTTAATGGACCTTTCTGCGTATATTCAAATCCTGTTTCAACAAAGGCCCTGTAAGAATTCACAATTATTTACTAGAAAACATATTACCTAAAGAGAAAATACTGTGAAAGTTTTTTTTTAACAATTTTTCTTTAATTAACGTAGGAATTTATTTAGAATTCATAATTTTCAAATTTGTTTTTAATATTCCTTACTCTAAACGTTTTATTTTAGGTTACAATACTAGATTATAGCATAATTTTGGAAATAGATAGTTATAAAGAAATTCATGAATATATTCCAGAAGTATTGACGGTATAAGGTTTATAGTTTTTGAGATATTCGCGATTTTCTATTACTAACTGCTTAGCCAGAAAGAAAATCCTTGCTATAAAATTCGTCGTACTATATGTCGCGTAAATTTTAAGTAAGCGCTCCTTTAAGGGCAGCGTTTTCCAAAGCTATTAAAATATTTAATTTCGTTAAAAAATCCCCTAGGTTTGTTTCCCTTTGAGACCGGCACTAGTGAAATTATGTAGCAAAAACGTCAGAAATTCTTTAGCATAACATTAATAAATTCTAATATTTTCTATAAAAATGATTGCAAATATCACACCAAATATTAATTATAAGAAAATGATAAACACTTGGGAAAAACATTAACAAAACAAAAAAAAGTCAAATTTCCTGTAGAATTAAAAATAATGTAAAATAAGGTCATTCCTTTTAAGGTAATAAATAAGGGCCAATTCCAATATAGCTCAAACAAACAAAATACACGTATTTCAAAAGTTACGTAGTCATCTTCTTAGAGTATTTAACTACAAAAACAAATGAAATAGAAATACTGTTAATTATTAAGGTGTTGATGACCGATTTGAAGTTTCAGATACAAATATTTTTTGTAAATATTATTTCACTGGTTGAAATATTAGAAAACTGTTGAACAACGTATTTTAAATACTTTATGTGAGTACAGTTAACCTCTGCAACTTTTATTAAATGAACGCAAGTTTAATCACTATAAAGCCATATTAGGTTTCCTTGGTCTAAATAAACATAAAACAAATTATCATTCTTTAAGAAAAAGTGTAAATCTTTCAATTACATACCAGTCGGGAATATCCGATGTTGTGCTTAATGCTGCAACATCCACAACAGGATTTCTAGCTACAACAACTTTGAACATGTCAGGATATTGACCGCTCAAATGCAATACTATAAATCCACCATGAGAACCACCTACCAATACTAATTGGTTTGGATTTAACCAATGAAACTGGCTTAACGCTGTTTTAACAGCTAAAACGCAATCGGATATATCCGCAGTGCCAATTTTGCCAAGTAAAAAATTAACACTGTCTTCTCCGCTCCCTATAGAACCTCGATAATTGACCAAAAGAACCGCATATCCTAAAAAATACTGCTGAATATATTTTTCGTATCTTCTGAGAAAATTTCTGTGACATAGTGTACATTTTACGTCGAAATCATAATGGTTCTATGTATTTAAATATTTGAGATACGAAAGTGAAGAGATACATTGTTAATAATGTAATTATAAGGTATTCTTAATGTAATAAGTAAATACTATAAATCATATTTTTCTTCTTTTGACAAACCCGTTGATTTTGAAATTTTGAATAGTTATGCAAATATATGTCTCAAGTTGTATACATATAAGTACAATTTTATTAACCTACTTTATTATTAAAGCAGGGTAATTGTAACAGCATTTTTCAAACAAGTTAAATATTAAATAATCTTTGCAAAATATAGTAATGACAGAATTCTTAGTAGTACTTACCCAAAGTTAGATAAATAGATAACCCCAAAAACATATTATTTCCAAATGCAGAATGAGGTCCTCCATGCGGCCAGACAATTAAAGGAACACTTTTTTCGTCACCTNATTTTAATTTAATTACAGCACTATAAAACATTTTTTAAGTATCTGACCTCCATATTATTAAAATAGCTAAAAGTACTACAGCGTAATATGATAAAATTAAAATACTTTATTATTAAAGCAGGGTAATTGTAACAGCATTTTTCAAACAAGTTAAATATTAAATAATCTTTGCAAAATATAGTAATGACAGAATTCTTAGTAGTACTTACCCAAAGTTAGATAAATAGATAACCCCAAAAACATATTATTTCCAAATGCAGAATGAGGTCCTCCATGCGGCCAGACAATTAAAGGAACACTTTTTTCGTCACCTGTTTTTGGGCCAATATACATAGCAGTAAATGATTCTTAAAAGTGTATTGGGTTACAACGATTATTAACAAAATTCGGTAAAACTACTTACTGACATTGTCATATCCTTCCTGTTCTAAATCCAAATAAGTAAATTTGAATTGATCTTGGGATAGGTGAATAGGTTTTGATATCATATTGAAAATTATCGTTTTTTCGTCGTTTTTATGAGGTATTTGAGCAGCCAAAAGTTTATCAGAACACAAGAAATTTCTGTGGTTGCAAAGAACCAAATTATCATAAACGTCTAAAATAATTAAACTTCCTTCTTCATATTTTAATTCTGTGATACTACCAGAGTCTGTTAAAAAAAACAGAAATTAAGAAATTCATTACTATTTCTTATAGTTTACCTATATCAATTGTATATGACTTAGTAGTGTTCCTTTGATCAGTAGAAAGAAGCAAACGTCTTTCGGATGCCCAGCACCTATGCGGGAACGATACGTTGTAAAGCCCATAAAACGTATCATTATTATTTATGGTAATTTCTGTTTTGACCACGTCGACGATAACTTTTGGCTTTTCCTATTAAAATTAATTAATTTATAAAATATAAACACTACGAAACAAGAAATTGTTTAAATACCGAAGCATTGAACGGGAATTGCTTGCTAACAAGGGCCATAGTTGAATGATGGGGTCCTCCGGCATTACGTTGCAACCAAACGAGAGTTTTATCATCAGGAGTAAATCGCGGTGATTTTACACTTTTATCCTCTTCAGATAAAGTCACTAAAACCACGATAATTTATGAAAACAATATAATTAATTTATCTTAGTGTTTTAGTTTTATTTAAAAAGTAAATAAGAATCTTTTTCACTAAAAGTATCTCTGCCCTTGCTAAAGTTTGAAATTGACACAGTTATAGAACATGCTAGGTCATATCTGTTCCAGATTAACAAATATATAATTTTATTACAAAAGGGAAAATCAAATAGTTTTTACCTTCTAGTCATAAACCTTTTATTTTTTATTTTATGATCAAAATTATCTTTATTTCCAAAACTTGCATAGGCCGAAAAATTTTAAATAATAAGAAAAATAAAAATAGCATTTAGCATTTGTGGTAAATAGAAACTGTTATCTTTTTGTCCTCGTTTATCTTTGAAGATTAGAGATCAAAATAAAACTTTAAAGTAGTATGGGCATTTATGTTAATAATATAGCAGAGTAAAGAAATTTAAATTGTAAACGTGAATATTTTTCATTTTAAAAATGAAATGAAATAAAATAAATATTTACATAGATTTCATCAAATAATTTACAAAAATTAGAATGTTAAAGCATGACTGATAAAGATAGATAAATGCATACCATAGTTTCCATTAAAATCCAGCTGAAATATAAAACTAGGTCTGTTAGTGCACCAAAGCAGACCTAACTTACGAGGTTCTGTAAGCAATGCAATTCCTACTATAGAATTGCCATCTGGTGTAAAAGTGACCTGTCCTGGACATACTGTTTCTGGTATACCTTCTAATATCTTAATATCTTCAGTATGTAAGTCAAACATAACAATTACAGATTGTTTTTTTCCTATCAATTGTTCACCCCAATCTTGACGAAAGACATATTCTTCGCCCTTAAAAATCCAATTTAAGTTTTGAACAAGTTAAATGCTGATATTGTACCTTAATGGGTGTGCTACTGCTTTCATCATTATTCTCTTTTTTGGGCAGTTTTCGTTTATAAAAAGACTCAGTTTTAGGATACTTTTTTTCAGCAATATATACAATTTTAGATTCATCAGGAGCCCATTCTAAACTTCCTAATTCTCCTAAAAAAATGAAGATTTTCTCTATAATCTTATGAAGACAATAATGATTATTAAATACCATCGGCATAAACATCTCCATGTAATTCTAGTGCAGAAAGATCTACAGCATGATGCAAATTCTGATGAGACCAAATTTCTAACAGTTGTTTACGACTGTCTTTTCCTTCAATTTCTCTAATAACTGCCCGATAGTTTTCCGAAGGAGATGTCCGTGATAATAGCCTTCAAATAAAACGGTTGATATTCTAGTCAAAGAATTTCAACATGCAGACAATACTCACTCCTGTGAGACATCAATACCATTTGTTTTTCCAATAGATTTAATTCTTTGTGTAACCAAATGGGTAATAAGGAATTTATTAGTTTTCCCTGTATCCAAGTTACGCTGGCTCCACCATGAATTTATTACTAATCCCTTTAAATCAAATCGCGCACCTACTAGAGCTGGGATTTGAGCAAGGGATTTATAAATTTTAACAATTTTATCCACCTGGAGAACAACATAATTGTATAATCTTAATAAATTTCTGATATATTTGTAGGTATTACCTCTAGGACCATTCTTAATAATAACAACTAAATCAAAATTATAAAACTGTACTCGAGTTGTACACTTATTTTTATCTTATCAGAAAGACTACAATAATTTATGGTGCATTTATCATTTGAATAATTCACTTGCTTACTTTTATTTGCATGACAAAACAATAATATACACTAGTTAAAGACAAAACAATTCAAGAAACTAAACATTACTATTTTAATTTAATTACAGCACTATAAAACATTTTTTAAGTATCTGACCTCCATATTATTAAAATAGCTAAAAGTACTACAGCGTAATATGATAAACATTTATATCTATGGGTAAACGTTACGATCATAGACAAATTATGGTAATCATAGACATATATTAATGGACGTGCCTTAGCCGTAAGTGGTTGTAATAATTTCTTGGCTCGAAAACTGAGGGAGATGGCATACGTTTCGGTACTATCTCTTTCATGACACGCTACGCACTATCGTGAGAGAGATAGATATTGTCCGAAACTTCGATCCATCTTTTTCTTTCTACCCTTTGTATGTTTGTATATCTATTATCTATGGTTGTGATGTAAAATGGCGTGAAGATAACGCTTGTTATTTGCTTTACTTGCTTTTTGGTGCGTTTTTATTTGTGTTAAATGTGTTTCTTATTTATAAGTGTAATTAATATGTTTTTTATTATTTTGTGTAGGTTATACAATAATTGAGAGAGAATTAATGTTCAGTTTGGTGATATTGAAACAGCCAAGGTCGTCTACATGGGTGTGGTCTTTCGTGGATTATATTCTTGATTTGGTGTTTCGTCTTCGCCTAGTAACATCATGCAGTTAATTTTCAACCCGTGAGTGAGAGCAACTGGATATTTGAATTCCACTAAATTAAGAAGTTCCCTGCTGCCGTATTCCTCCTGGAGTTGGTTTACTTTTCACACCTGTTAACTTTGGAATGTTACATTCTATAATTAATTAAGGTGAGAATACTTGATATAATTAATTTTAATTGCTCTTTATTAATCTGTTTGCCACCGTATCTGTTTCAGATCGACGTTGGAGAAGACAAAGATGATCCAGTCGTTCAAATAGTTCTTTATTTTGCATGTTTTTTTTGTAGTTTCTTGTAGTTACTTGTAGTTAATTTGATTTAGTTTTTATTTTGCATGCTTATTTTTGTTCATTTTGTTTGAAGTAATTGTTGATTGAATATGTTTTTATTTTTTTTTTGTAAGTGGTAGTAGTGTAGTAGTAGTAGTACTTACTAACATGTTTAGTAGTTGTAGTATAGTCTAACATGTCTCTTGCTTACCTCTTCGCTTAGCTTACTGCATATTCTTGCTAATTTGCTTTGCATTTACCCTACGAGTTCTACATGATTCAACGTTTCGTTATCGTGTGTGTTTCTTCTCACCCTTGTGGAATTAGGGAGGGCCTCCCCGAACGACTTCCCTTGGGCTTAGCTATTTAGTTGATCTTAAAAGTGTCTTATACACTTTTCGCGAGTCTACTCTAGCGTTACTTCCTTTCAGAC